ATCCTCTAGCCTTATTTTAATTCCACCCAGAGTTTTGACGAAGGGTTGCTTGGATTTTACCGCATACTCCTAATGCTCACTTTAAAACTGATCTATTAAACAAACAGCAAGTATTTTGTCCCATGTAGTGAAATTCGGCATAAACGGTTGCCCGTTGACATATTTTTCGGTCCTTGAGATGAACAGTATTGCCTTTCGGCAAAAGCACACGGGCTATAACAAAGATTATCAGTACATTGTCATCCTACTTTCGACAAAAAAAACCTATTTGATTCCAGAATCCACTGACAAATTCGCCTCTTACGCCCACCCATCACCAACTACCTCTGTACAGTATGGTATTACCGACAAAGACAAGGGAGACTGGAATGGCCATTTCTAGCTTATTAGCCGTTGTCAGCTAGTCATACCTAATCCCGAAGTGTGCAACACCCGAGGCTCGAACTCGCGACCTGTTAGTTAGAAGTCCACGCCTCTAACCACTGGGCCACGAGCCCGTTGCCCTGTCGGTTTTCGATCAGGAATATACAATGGTAGGGGGCGCTCACCGATCGTTCTTACGGAACTCACTCGTTCCGTTGTGCCGTTTTGACTGACTGACGACGGCTAATAAGCCAGAAATGGCCATTCCAGTCTCCCTTGTCTTTGTCGATAATACCAAACTGCCTATATATCATGCGCCGCTGTGCGGCTGCTGGTTGGGCTCGAGAGAGAGAGAGCCCGTAAGGCACAACGGAACGAATGAGTTCCTTAAGAGCAATCGGTGAGCGCCCGCCACCATTACCTCTGTACATACAACTTCACTTATCGGGGCTGACAGCTTAAATCCCTTCTCAGCTGCCTTCCCAGAACACTATATTCTACTTGTTTGACAATTAAGTAGGGTTTTCAGGAAACCCCTTTCCAGGTAAAACCTGCTTTTTCAGCAGCGGAGCATCTTCGCAAGTTCTGTTTCCGACGAAATGCAAACTGGCGATTCAGCAAATGTAAACTGCGACGTGGTTTCTTCCTTTCTCACCTGGTTCACGGTGGGTACAGACTGTGGCGGGAAAATGTTATGCAGACTGCTAAGGTCAGCAGCAGAGATTCCGCTCTCAGCGGTTCCGCCGGCCGACGACGTTGACGGATGCTGCGATTTCCGCGAGGCGGGTAGCACGCATGCCGTGAGGGCAGTGCCAAGAGGCCGAACAGTGAGAAGGGCGTCTGCTGTGGGCAGACCGATGATCGGCGAAGACCAGACGGGTGTGGGTTCCGCGTCGCTGGGTTGCAGCAACCAGGGCGTCACTGTATCTGAGGCCGAGGCGGCACCGGTGAGAAACCAGTCGTAGGAACTACGGGCCGAGGAGAAGATCAGGAGATTTTCGATAGATTTTTGAATGTTCGCCTTCACGTGGCTGACAGCGGAGGCACCATTGGTGGCCAGGCAGGCGTCTGATGGGCTCGAAACTAGTACATGGTAATGAAAATATGTACTTAATATGGAAATTCTGCAAAATTCTACTGAGCTGCGTTTTATGTGTTGACACACTGGAGGCAGCACAGAAAAAAGTAACCGATGTGCGATACCGAGTCTGAACTGTACAGTTTACCAGGCAAACTCATTATAAAATTTGTTAAGCATAGATGACAAGGTACATAAAGCACTTTGTCCTTGTCCAATTTTATGTAAAAACGCTATCCAATGCAGCCCCTCCCAGCAGGTAATGAGGTAACACTGCACGATCTTCGTGCCCAAAAATGTGACGTTGCTATTTCCTCGAATAAAAATCAGTTCGCGGCTCATGGTTGCTCACCCATACGTGGTTTCTGTAAGACGGCGTTTTTCGCTGCATGCCAGAGGCCCGGCCGCTGGTTGGTGTAAAGGTTACGTGCCGGACGCTCCTCGAAACGGCTGGATTTGCCTGGCGGTGGCTGGTGGACTCGCCAGAAAGCACGCTCCTGAAAAAAGAAAGATATGCATGTACATTTTGGTTGGTCCGTCAGTTTAAAACGACAGGGTTTCGGAAGGCAGACCTAGGTACTCTCTCATCGAAATCCAAGTTCAAATCAATATGCGCCAAATGGATACTCACGTCAGTAGTCTGCAGTTAAAAGGACAGGCATGGTAAGACCTAGATAGTTCATGTTAAAATTCTTCGGTGAATGTCCTCAAGCCTATCGAGTTAAAGTCGTCTTAGCGATATGGACCAAGAAGAGTAGGCTATGCAGAATACAGATCTAGAAGAAATTGGCTTTCGCTAGGTAAAGGACAAGCGTTGAAGTAGATGTAATTGCAGATACATTTTTGGCAAAATAAATGTCATCGAGACCGAGAGGAAAGGACTGCGGTTGTGCGACAAAAAGGCCATCAACATTCGTTTAAAAGCAATATTTTTCGTACAAGTAACCGATTGTGTTGGGCAAAAATGCCGACCAAATAAAAACACCAAGGAGTTCTCGGCTCTCTTTGATAATAGGTTAAGATTTGCTCGTCAACTACTAAGAACTACTTTTCCTCAAGAAAAATATACATTACAAATTCATTTGCAATCATGCCAGTCAAAAAGTAAGGACTCAGTCCGGACCTAAAGTGAATTCTACACCAAGATTTCACCCCTCATTTATCAAGAACATGGGT